TTGATTTCATTACATAATATCTGGACCCCAATAGATTTATACAAAAAGGAATATCTGTTTCATAACTGATAGACAAAGTGAGAATATTATTTCTTCCACTATGTTAACCGATAGATTTATACAAAATAAGAACATCAATATCATTACTTAGCTGGAAACCGCTGATTTTTTAAAATATAATTTTGAATTGTTTCAATGTGTAAAATGTCTTAATAAAAGAGTGAAACCCTTCCTATTTTTCTACAGTGTGGCCTCTTCTTCTTCTTCTTCTTCTTTTTTATAGATACTCTTTCTTTAATTGCTTTTTTGAGTTTATTTTTGGAACAATGTAAGATTAGCAGTATCATTTCTTACACAATGGTAACCGATTTAATACAAAGTTTAATTTGAATGTCAGAATCATACATTTATTGGTGAATTTTATTGTTTTTCAATTGACTTTTGTATTCTCTCAAACTAACAGATTGATAACAACATTCAAATCTTATTAACAACATAAAATACAACCTTTGTATAAACTAAACCTTTCTTATAATTTTTTTTTCTTATTTTTAATTACTTTTTAAAACACCAAAAGTGCAGTTATTCCACATTTCTTGTTCAATATTTATTACATTTTCAGTTGTAATCTTCAAATTTTTCTTCCATGTTCATGTATATTATTGTAAAATTGTATATCTTTGTAAATGTTGTATGGCTATTAAGATTTTATGTATGGGAGAGGACTATCTAAGTTTTTAGAACTTGTGTCCAATCCCTTTGACATATTGTCAATAAAATATGTTCGAACAACAAGCATCTTCAATTTTCTTATATTCAATAGATACTATGAGGACTGGTATTAAGTCAATTTTTTTTAATGATGAGAACGTTGAAACTTTATTCGAGTGATTATCTGCAGAAAGCGAACCTATCAGGCTAATATAACCTATTGCCAAAACAAACTCTGTAGATTATACAGTACATGTATTTTTAAAACTGAATTAAACAAAGACTGGGCCCTTTTCATTACCACAGTTACATACATGTAGTTTGTTGATATCAGAAAAAAGTGACTTGCTTTGGATGGATTGTCTTTTATCAATTGATACTTTTTTTTAATCATTTATGTGTGTGTGTGAGGGTGTGTGTGTGTGTGTGTGTGAACATTCATGATATTCCTAACAAAAATTTATTATAGTTAACCATAGCAAAAACTTTGATAATTTGATTTACTCTAAAACTTTACTCTGGGACTTTTGTTGAGATTTCAAAGCGTAACATCTCTTTAACTCGATAACAGTGTTGTAAAACTTTGAAATAATATTTGAATATACAAGTAATAGTTCCATTCAATATAAAAAAAAATATACATGTATGAATTAAAGAGAGCATAAAATATAACAATCTGTAAACCATAGAAAAATTACTTTGATTTACTATAGTCAAATCTTTGATTTACTATAGTCAAATCTTTGATTTACTATAGTCAAATCTTTGATTTACTATAGTCAAATCTTTGATACCATAGTAAACTTTAGTTAACTCTGTTAAACTATAATATAAAATATAGTATTTTTTGTTAGGGATAGTAATAATGATATACTGCAGCTGTAAATTGTTAAGATGAACTGAGTATGATCTTCAAATATATTAGGCATCGCCCTAAATATGCTAAGAATATCTCCTCTAAATTAAATAGTGTATTTCCATTCACCAAATCTGGTACAAAGGCTTTTCTATGCGTTATTTAGTGTAGAAAGGTGAAACCAAATAAAAGTGAAAGCAAATCCATACGAGGATGATTTTTTGAAAATCAATTATTAATTACTAATTATACAAATTTTAATTGCATAATTCATAGATTTCATTACAAGTGTAGAAGCAGATGATACTATATTTTTTTCTCTCTAAAATTCAGAATAATTTTATTCCATTTAAACATTTAAAAAAAAAATTGTTAAAGCAGCAGGCGTTGCTTATTTATGTCCTCATCAAAGCAACGCACAATCCTCTTTCAACATATGAATTATTACTCTTTTTTTTAAATTTAATATCAATGTAATAAAGGCGTTTCATATCAAACTTTAAAAAAAAACTTTAAATTGTATAAACCTGAATATGATTCTTTAATGTCAAATAGATAAGTTTTTATTTCAGAAGAATGTAGTGTTTCTAAAATCTCCATGGAATTTTAAGAGATCCAACTCAGTAGACCATTATTACATTCGTCAGAATGGAAGTCCAGGCAGAGTCAGATAAGTGGCACAGTAGGCAACGTCATCAAATTTGTGATTGTTAAAGCACAAGATAATTAAATTATCATACAAGATATTTTAATGGAAGATCATTACAGAAGATCCATTGTTTGATACATTGCAGAAAGAATAAAATCATTATTTTAGTGAAATATTTAAATATTTACAATTTTCCTCAATTCTTATAATTTACGATATTGTTAATATTCTTTTAATTGCATTTCATTTTGTAATGACTTTTACAAAATGGTCAAAATCCACTAAAAATATACAGTTTTTGTTATAGAGTGTTAATTATCTATGGTAAAGTTTCTGTCAAAAAAAAAATATCCCAAAGTCCCAAAAAGAAATCGAGAATGAAAGACCAAATTTGATCATTATGCGGAGTGTCCTGGCACTTATTTCGTATATGGGATCCTTACCAATAAGGGGTGACCTCATATACGAAACAAGTGCCCGTGGGAGTGTCCCCTAAATATTTACCTTCATTAAATGCTGATTACTGATATTATCTTCACAGTGACTGACCAGGCAATTGTTAACAATTATATTATAATTTAGTTTCTTCAGCCAAATTTTAGTGTTTACTATATTCGGAAGTATTTTATTTGACATTTATTGAATTTGCTTTAAAAACTTCAGTGAACCCTTTTGGAACCTTTTGATAGACTCCATTACATATTGACGATTTCCATAACCTTGATGCATTTTTCATTTGCAAAAAACATTCCAGTAATCAAAAAAAAGCTAGAAATGCAGATTTTCCATATGCATCTTACCTGTACTTTTATTTGGTATTTGTATGAAATATTTAAAATATCTACATGTATGTGTTTAATTTTCTAGATTCTTGAAAGATAATGGACCATATACATGTTGGGAGTCATTTCTTTAAATGGATTCAACATGTATCAGTCGATTCCAATTAAAAGTGTCTATTCCAATGACGAAACTAGATATTTATCTTTGTTGGAAATATTCATCCCTTGATTGTTTAATTTATATGTATATATAAATTTATTTTTCATTGCATAAACAAATTAATGTTTGGTTTTCAAACTATGCTCTTTATTTGGTAATTCACGATTCTTAGAACATGTAAGCCTTATACTTGTTTGCTCCATCAATGTCACATATTTTCAATGATAAAACTAGATAAATGTTTTTTGATGGAATTATTCACCTTTTTCAAAATATTTTAATCGCATAAATAATTCAATATTTGGTAATGCATAAAATAAGAACTTCGAAGTTTCATTTCACCGATATTGATTCACAGCTACTTTACCAGCTTATCTACAACTTTTTTTTTTAAAATAATACCTCTCTGTGGAAAAATTCCTTTCACGCCTATTTCAAGAAAATAAGAATAAAATACACAACAATTAACACAATTAAATGTAACAAAATTTTATTATTTATTTTTTCAAACTCAAACATTTCATGATATTGTAATATCTATCTCTAAGATTGATGAGTTCTGAAATACAATTAAAAAGAGAGATTCTTGTGTTTTGTTTGTACTCTGACAAAAAAAAATATTTAAAAACAAAACAAATGATATCTATCCATTATGATGAGATAAATCGTACTGTCATGGTCTTTCATTGTAATATCACAGGGTTTCATCTAAAATAGGTTCTACCCTGAAGAAATCAATATATGTATATACAAATTAAAAATATACAATATAAGTTTCATAGCACTCGTTCGGGTCGTGCCTTTGTCACAGGGAGCAAGGATTTCAAAAGATTCTTTTAACATTATAGTTGTCTGTGTAATTTTTTTCTTTGGTTAAAAGTCCCCTCTCAAAACTCGTCATCCAAAAATCATCCATGCATGATGGAATTGACATTACTGTAGATTAAAGCATCCTCTTTAAACTAAACACATACAATATTCATACTAAACTTGTCATGAATTTTGTAGTACTCATTAGATGCCGCAGTATTTCTGTTTCCTTCTTCTTTGAGCAAATAATAAATTTTCTGAATTTTTTTAATCGAAGTTTGCTGAGCATGCGTAATAAGATTCTTGAAACTAATACTGAGATGAAATTTGTACTTAAATCACATGTGACGATCAACTTTTGTAAAAATGATTGTATTGCACAAAATTTTATAGGTGAAGAGCGATATTATATGGATCATTGAAAAGTAATTTGAAATATTTGTGATGATGATCGCTTTTGCAGAAAACATAAAGGCATGAATAAAATAGCTTTTTCTTGTTCTATTAAAAATAAACGAAACTAGGCTTACACTTGCTTTGACAACTAGTATCCTTCAAGTAAAATTCAATATCATTAAGAAAGGCTCCCGAAACATTTCATCATACAAGATTATAATCTCAAGAAGGAGTATAAAACACAGAGTAATAATGAAAATTAGATATACATATGAATATATCTACAGTTGATACGTCCAACAAACAACCTATCCATACACACTGAATTCAAAGTCCACACATTCATCGTCACAATATACCCTAAAAAAGTTAGTCTAATGTCGACTTTGATTCAAAAAATAAGACTTCATTCTGTCAAAATGTTTTAAAGAAAAAAAACATTTTTCCTGAATTTTAAAAACAACCTCTGATTTTATGCCACAAGTCTCAGAATATCTTCCAGAATATTCATTATTGTTTGTAATGCCATGTCTGGAATTCAAATTCACTTTAAAGTCCAAAAAATATTTTTGCAAAGCACAGTTTGTTTATGGTAATATCATAGGTTGCTGACGAATTGTTCATTTTTTGCACATCCGCACAATGTTATGATTTGGAAGGACTTGCTGACGCGGCCACTGTTGTGTTCGGTTCGGTTCTACCTGAGACTGGCGTTTGGTAATAGTATGGTGTATCTGAAAAACGAAATACGTAAATATAATCTTATAATCTGAAGCAAGCAGTATTACTATATACAGGGTTATTTTCGCCCTTTCACACTTGCAAGTAATTTTGCCCCGTTTTAAATTCACCCAGTCACACTTCTGTTTAAGAAAGTAATCTGTCCTCTACGATTTTTTCCTCATTGACATTATTATTATATGTATTATATGTATTTATCTTTTTTTTGTCCTCTTTCATTTTCTGAATAAGTATATCATATACTTGTACCTCTGACCTGAATTTATATGCTGTAAATATTTTTCATTGTCCTCATGTATCATATATTTTAGATGGTTTTGAGTGAATAAATGAACTTGAATTTGAATTTAGAAAATATACTGTGTTCTATGAATTCACCCCGTTTTAAATTCGCCCACCTGTGAGTAGGGCGAAAGGGGTGAAAATAAAACGGGGGCGAAAATTTCCCTGTATATATTATTCTTTACAAACTTCAAAGAATACTATCTCTGCAAGCTATTAAATATGTGTTAAATTCAACATTTAACCCACAAACTCCCAGGACTGATTTACGCTATATTTTATAAAGCAAAGACGTCACAGCAGTTGAAATATTTCAATAGCTTTTTTTTTTTTTTTTACAGTAGTAGTATTCATTTTTGAGAATCTTAATACTACCATAAGTCAATTAGATCCGCCCAGATTTAGAGGGACTTACTTAGAATACCTGTGGGGGTGGTGTATCTCATTGTCCAGGCTGGATCCGCAGGGTAGGCAGCTGTCTGATACTGTGTGTAGGGGGCTGTCCCAGCGGCATTGTAATACTCCCCACCTATAACAGGTAAAAAAAAAAACAAAACAGGTGTTTAATGGTGCTTGTTGAATGAAGACATTGATTTGGGTCTGCGTAAAAAGTGTATGAAAATTACAAAGTTTGCATAATGTATGAAAAAATTATTAGCACTGGAACATGAGGAAAAACTGAGAAATATGAAAAAAATGTTGTAGCCTTTGTATTGATTGGAGAGTTGGGATAATCGCACTTCAAATGCAAGAAAAAAAACTCATATAGCTGTGTTGCATTATTTATTCACGAACGGAAGACACTTCTAGAAACTTAACGATTAACACGAGATTTGACGATTCTAAAAAAAAAAAAAGATGAGTATCATATCAACCTAGAATGTGTGTGGAATTAATTTTTCATATGTTGTTTTACACGTTAGTAGGTATTGTACCTTTTTCATAAAAATGGAATAAAAGAGAAGTTTGCTATGTACAATGTACTTGTCACAAATACTGAAAGGCATGCAATCGAACATGCATGAACAGTCATTTCACAACAGTCAAAATACACAGCATATGCAAACAACATCCGACATACGATTCCAGTGCATTACAGAACAATACTAAAACACCGATACTTTAAAATGAATGACAGGATAATGCTTAGGGTTTGTTAAAAGTATTTTAACAGTTCATGGAGATTCAATCAAAGAATCTTCATGAACTGATGAACTCATTCAGTCCGACTTTCATTCTATTTTCATGTATCTGCTGTTTTGAAAAGAAATGATTCACTCAGAAAATGTTTACCATGAATACCAAAAAAAAAGAGACCTTCTTTAAAAAGCCGAGATATTATCACAATATACCATAAAGCGGTTATCACCTCTAAATCGTAATTCATCAATACCACTGCCGAGCGCTAAACAATAGCATTCCGTTTCTTTTCTTCTGTTTTGACAAAAAATTGTATTAATAGGTTTAATTTATCAGTAGTTTATTTATCAGTTCGGACATGCAATGGGATCGCCCTCGCGGGAACGAACCAGTTGTGGCGTGACATAGGACGATAATTTGTCGTCTGCTTTGTCTTATGACTGACCGATAAGGAAGAGAATAGACCCCGGTGACGAATTCCTCTACTTTGTTACTATGAAAGGACATACTAGAGTGGCAAATAGCCAACACAAAAGGAATAGAGATGTTGGGGAGATAAACTGATGACTGCGATTCTAAACAGAGACCTGAAAGAGGAAATCTACACGAAGATGGGATAGAAAAAATAGGATCGTCAAGGAAAAAAGGATGATATCCTTAAAAGTTCGGACTGCAATGATTTTTTTTAAAAGTCTGTTTTAAATGTCATATTGTTTTAATTTAAACACATAAGCAATAAATCATTTTCTGCTATGCAATTTGATGAATCAAATATGTGTTGTTTTTTTCTTCGTCAACAGTTTGCGTTCCGAAAGATGAAGGATATCGTCTGACGATGACAAAATGTGTGCAAAATGATACAAACGAGATCCGTAGGATTTTTATCTGATGTTGTCGACAACATCATCATTTACAGTTCCGTATTCCACGGGGCACAATTATTTAGGGACCTCTACAGCAGAGTAGATTAAATTGAATTCTGAAATAAAGTGATCTGATTTCGGTTTAATCGCAGAGGTTTTGAGTATCTAGCTCGGATGGGACTTCGTTGTCGAGTTATCCGATCCCGGGGAGAGAGAAATCTCGCGGAAGATTCCAGGGAATGGTGATTTTATCATGAAACGGACAGAGTTATCCTATTTGCAAATGCTATATCGATTGGCGAACGGTGCTAACACTATCGCGCATGTATCACCGTCCGTTTCGTATTTCTGTCATTGGCTCTCGCGACATAACGATTTTATCGGTCACCTAAAGCATTAAGGACCCGTTAATTTTGTTGCGTCCGTCCCTCATAGCTTTATCGTAGGATGCTGCAATGCAAGATAGTGTAACAAATCGGGAGTTGGTGTTTTTTCTCGATTAAATGTGACAATTTTTACACTTTGTTTATCTTGTCCATGATTCCATCCCCCCATGATCGATGCAGGTTTTGAACATTTACATATGTATTATCCCTTGCGTTTAATATGGGACGGTTTAATGATTCATTTCCTACCCGATAGAGAGATTCAGTTTATGCGTCAATTTAATGACCTATTATTATTGATCGGGTGTGATCTCCGCTAATGTTCGTAAGCTAAAACAATATGAGACATGATGCACTAACATACATCCAACGATTAAATAAAGGGAAACACGACAGAGAAGATGATTCTTTTTATTGTTGGGATATAAATGTGAATTATCATTAATGTAAGGCTTAACGAATAAAACAAAATATGAATATTTGTTCCTTCATCATGTTTTTAGTTGATAACCAACAGATTTTTCACGTAAAACTTTTAATCTCTTAAAAGGCGTTTGATTAGACCGTACATCCTCATCCTCAAAAGCAAAGTAATGTATCGACAAAGTGCTGAAATAATTTTTTATCCAATAATTTATCTCTTCATACTGGTTAATCGAAAGTGAGATTAAAGACCGTTATATTCCATAACTATGCTGTAAAGTTCGAACCCGACTTCTAGACTGCCTGGAGTGAAAATTTAATTTCTCCGTTGGGTCATTTTACACAATAATATTTGTCATTGCATAGAAATTGCACACATTTAAAAAAAAAAGAAATAAAATTGAATACTTAAAATTTACTTTGGCAGATGAAGCCGTGATTTTCGGTAATTAGTAGTACCAATGATCTGCGTGTCGTTAGAGACAGACAGTCCTTAGCAATAGCTTGAAAGCCGAGAAAAGAAGCAATTGTATGGTAATTTTATTAACCCATCTCCGTTATTATATGGCTTATGTGACAACTGCACACGAGAGACTATTACGGCAAAAAACATCCAGTATTATAACATAAAAGATGTTTTTGCCCCATTTTAATCTCGCATGCTAACTATTCTGTAATTTCAGGGCGGCGGGATCAGAGGCTCCCACGTTGATTTGGTGTCGTGTTAAAATACATTCATTTTAAAAATCCTTATTTTCTTTTTTTAGAAAAAGTGTCACAGACGATTTCCTTCATTCAATTTAAATGAAAACTATTAATCAGGATAAAGCATTGTTAAGTAAATTATATTTGAAGACTCGTCCCGATATCCTAAATATGTAAGCAAATATTTTGAAGTCATAATACTGAATAATATGTGGTAATTATTTAACATTTGGTTACATAATTTGTGTAGGACCAGAGTAATTAGTCATGCTACAGATTTGTCACAATTATAAGTAGTAATAAATGCGCGATGACTTCCGAGTGATTAGAGGACGCATTCAATGTTTGGTCGGTTTCCAATGCAGCGTTAAGTCTGAAAAGTCGGACCGATTTCCTGCAAAAATTTCAACAGTCGATTCAGTCCTTTCTTTCTGGTTTCTATTGCAGAAAAATATTACGAAACGGTGATGACACAGTCTTTTTAATCGAATCAAAGAACTGCAAGAAGACGGACAAACGATCCTCTCGTCCAATAATTCATCAATTCGTTCCAATGGCAAAATATTATCAAACGCTTTTAATTCTCTAATCTATTCTCGTGCGAATGATACCGACCAATTCTTCCGAACGGAGAGTTGTGATTAATGAAGGAACTTCCTAATCGGATCGTATAAGTAGCCTCCAAACTTCATAGTCAAATTACAGGCCCATTGGGTACGTCCAGGGTCCACTGGTTTGGAAAATATAATTTTCATTGCTCCTGTATAATGCGAATTTTATTAACGATTGCCAAAGTAGACAAAGACAGAGACGGTCGATATCAAAATGTTCGTGTTGAGTTCTTAAATAAAGATTTAACAAAATAAAATGTCTTTTTAGTTTCCCAACAATAACCCAATCATTCTAAATTATCTATCTCTATGAAAATACAAACTTAGGTGTGAGGAAAGGCTTAAGAACTTAGTGGCATCTTTTTTTTTTGTTTTATTGTCCTCCTCCCTAACCATGGTATTGTTTTATTTTTCATTTTAGCAAAAAATGTGATATTAAGCCATCCTTTATTTTAAAATCTGAGTTAAAGATGTTAAACTTAACTAGCATCTTTGTTACAAACATCAAACCAAAGTTGTGATTTAGAACCCTCACAAATTCACACATCAAAAGCTTCACTTTTTTAACTCCGATTAAAAAGATATCAACATATTTGTGCCAAACTTGACATAACGATGATAAGAAAAGCTGAGAAAATGATAGATATATTTAATCCAAAATGATACACAGCAATGACGAACTGACAATAGGGACGGATTTATCGGGGATGCACGTGCTTTCCGTCAGTCATATTTCCGGCAATCTTGCAGCCGATGAGAAATGTTTCATAGTGCGTGTTTATTTGTTAAGAACACATGCTAACGATGTTTCAATTTGTCAACAATGACAATGTGATAAATAGTCAAAACAGAAAGAATGTAAAATCAATTTGTAAATTCCCTTGTCCATAAAATTGGACTCAAAGATAAAAAAATTTTGGGTTTATAGTACAAAGATAAAAAAAAATCAAACTTTTTTTTCTTTATAAATTTTTTTCCCTCGCAATTAAAATGCAAGTTTAGGAAACTTCTTATGGTAGGCAATTTTTAAACTGAATAATTCGAGTTTTGTTTATCTATTTATTTATTTTAGATGGATTAAAAAGGGATTTCTTTGGTATTACAAGGACTATTTCAACAATACGTCTTCTTTGGATGAAGAAAAATTCTACTTATGCAAGTGCTTCATGTGTATGAAGAAAGGACTCTTTGAAAAACAAGTGACATTGTTTTTATCTAACAGTTCATGCAAAACCCGAAATTTATATAAGAATAAAACAAGAGCTGAAGATGTTAACTCCTCAACCCTTTTCCTTCAATTCAGCAGGTTCAGTCCAGCTGTGCATAAAATAAAGAAATAAAAAGCAGACTTTGGTTTAGGGTGTGAGGACTTACTAGGTGGGTTGGCTGAGCTATAAGATCCGCTGGATATTACTAGAGGTTGTACAACACTGCCCACAACAGCTTGACTGGGAAACGTAGCATGTGAACCGTTATAGCTGCTAGCTTGACCTAATTGTGAACAAAATGCTAAATTAATGCATGCATACTAATTTTTCGTGCCGATCCTTGCTTCTAGGAATATAATTTTTGGCTTTTCTCCTTTTCACTATCAAGATGATTTATACATATTGTGTTCTTTGGTAGAGGAAAAGACATGTGTGTCAAATCTTCATCGGGGTTGTAAATTTTCAAAGATCAAACAACCTATTTTGTTTATACTCCGTCCATATGATTGTAAATTTGATAAAATCAGAAAGGAAAGTATGCAAACAACACTCCGATTTAAAAAAGACAATTTGTGCGGCTGGAAACAATAATGAGAATGAGTACATAAAAGTATTCATTATCATTTTCAATCGATCTTTAGTTTTTGCATTGAAATGAATTTTTCAGATAAATCAATGTTTGCGATTTCCTGTATGATTGTATGATATCACATTTTTCATCTTTGCCGTCCAAAAATTAATAGAAAATATTCAACTCGTGGTGTAAGTTATGACTCGACATGAAATGTATTTGGCAAATCTTAATGAAAATCATTTCATGGCGGATAAAATCTAAATCTGATAAATGTTTTATATCATACGAATGTGTAATGCAATATATTGAAAGTGTTTAAGTAACCATGATTTTCAAAATAAACTTTTGAACATCATAGCTGATTAGTTTAATATCGTTTGATTAATACCCAAATTACCATGATGCATGCATTAATTTTTTTTAATGTTGACTGACGGTTACCTTTTTCTTTCAACAGGCTGGATGTGATCGGTTGAGGATGTTGCAATGTACTCATGCACGTTAGTAGCTTAAGAGAGTTAGCTGTTATAGGTTGATTATCAATGTGTTAATAGTCTCTCCACCACAGGCAAATAAATAACATTTGTTAGTCTTGTTACTTTACTACACAAGTGGCGATAACCTAAGTATAGCACTCTGATCTTTTCGAAAAAAAGGAAAAAGCTAAATTGTCCGGATATTGGCAAGAGCTTTCGTTTACTAACATCAAAGTTTAGCTGAGGAAATCATAAATATGTCCTTCTTTTTTATATTGATGCGAATGTCGCTGCTCCGACTTTAGCATACAATGTTTTCACTTTGTCTCCAGTGGGAAAAAAAACAACATAGGGAGATTGTTTGAAGCTCCTCGTCTTGGGAGTCTATGACAAATCTGGAATCGCGTCAGTAATCACATATCAGAGAAAAAATGTGGAGCAGATTAAGTTTTGTTTCATATGGTTTCCATTAAAACATAAAATATAACACGTTTTGCCTTATATAAAAGCGTTCGATGTAATCCTAACTTTCAAACGCAGAAGATACAAAGTATAGTAAACTAATATACCTCCCAAGTTTCTTTTCTGGGGCAAAATACGTGATTTTTATGTCATATTACCTGGGTTTAATAACAGACCAATTAGTACAATTTAAGATGATGCTTCACGACGGTGAATAAATTTCAATGTGCCGGATTTTAGGAATATTCTTTTTGTGTTTTTTTTTCTTTAAGATATCGTATAACGACATTTTAAAAATTGTCATCACTATCTCGTTTTGTCCCTTTTGTGTGTGTCATGAAAATAAGGATTGTAGATCTATCGGGGAACCCCCATAATAACACAATTAGCCAATGGTTCCATCCTTGGTGGGCTCGTTTTTTCACATTTATTTATTAAAAGAATGCAAAGAAACTACATAAACTGGGTATGGAAAATATAGGACTTTGTGTAAATAAAAGCAACTTAAGTGTACATTGGTTTTAGTATTAGTAGCTTCATAAATTCCTTTTTAATACAGCTATTAGGTCCAAAATAAGATGCAAATAATAAAAAAAAATTTAAGTAATTCGTATTGCATTCTGGGTAAACTTGAAAGCTTGTGAAAAGTTGCTGAGCTTGCTTTTTACTAATGAAAGTTTCTTTTCTTTCCTTTACTTGTTTCTTTGTCTGATTAAAAAAATCTTTATAAAAAATTACTTGTTTAATGTTAAACTTTTCATTGAGAAAAGTGTTAAAACTGAAATTTTAAATTTTAGTATATGGCCGTTTTCGTGTTTCAGGGGAAACAAAGAGAACAAAAGAAAAGAAACCAATATTAAAGAAGGTGAATGATTTTGAAATGCAGGTGAAGTAAAAAATAAGATTCTTCTAATGAAGGTGAAAAAGGAAAAAAAAAAAACGAAAAAAATCTACAAACCAAGAAAAAGGGCATGCTTACTTGAAAATTGTCCCGAAAACGACGGCAACGGTGTATAAGACTGGGACATAGTGGGTTGAACGGGCTTAAGCTCTGTCAGGTTGTTAGACCCACCCCCTGAGCTGGGGGAGCCCGCCTTGGGGGGAGGGGTGTTGTTATTATTGTTGATGGTTGGTGTTGATGATGAAGTTGGTGTGTTGTTGGTTGCTGCAAAAAGGGTAACAACAACATGCAAGGAATACACTCAAGTTTTTACCAGAAAACACGATAGCACAATGCACAATATATAATAATATAGACAGAAGCAATACTGAGGAAAGATGCCTGATATAAATTTAGCAGAAACAATCACCGATCTTGTTTTATGCTTAAAATACTACACGTTTCATATATAAATTAAAAAAAAATAATTCAAATCTAACTTCTGAATATTTTACTTAATTTCTCTCCATGGAAGGTAACAAAGATAACATTTATTAAGCAACTATTTTTAATGCTAAAATGAATTCAGTTTTTTTTCTACTTTGAGATTTTCTTTAAAAATGCAAATTACCGAGTTTTGAAATAATGTATGCAAAAGGCCAGTTTTCTGGCTTTGGAGGAAAACTATATGAAAATAATATTCTTTTCCAAAAATAAATTTTGGTCAGACAAAATAAATTTTGGGAGCAGACAAACGACATCCTGGATTATTTGCCGAGTATTTCTCTTATATGACATTGCTAATCAAATGAGTCGTGATTTAATGCATAAGGATGGCGCGTTACATTTGTACTAGGCCCATAACAATGACTTATTTTTATTTGGTAGTGTATTTATTGGAGATTTCCAACAAGCCTGATTAGGAGCGGTCATGCAAATGACCAATTCATAAGTGGGAGCCCTAATGGGAAAACTGAAATGCGAGAGAGACAGACAGAGTTAGTGTTATTCAGTGGCTTTTTTGATTGAATAATTCTTCCTATTTTCCCTTCCTTCTTGATCGACAAGTTGATAATTTGATAGCATATTGTCTTGTTCTTCTGCAATGATAGTGTAATTTCTCTTTCACTTTTTTAGTCTCTCACAATTCTGCTAATCAATGAACCCTTGAAATGAAACAGAACCAAAGTTTTGTGCTTCAGATCGGTGTTTGAAATATTCTACTAAAATTCAAATTTCGTGAATTAACACCTGTTCTAAGTTTCTATGCTAATGAAGATCCTTTTTGTAGATAAAAAGGGCAATAATTTTAATTTTCCCATTCAATTTTCATCCAAGACAACCAATTGGTCCTGTATTTTACCTCGAGCAAGAAAACAATTTATCAACCCCCAAGTCTTCAATTACTTTTCATTATTTACTCCTTGATGTATTGGTATCTAAGATTAGTTCAAAACAGTGTCTTGATGGAAAGGGAAGAAAAAACAAGACGCATGAAAACAGCATTAAATTTCATTATATTTTATCTACCAAAAATTGGCTTACTTTTAAAGTGCTTTGGTTAAATATGTTTTTAAAAATTGAGCGTCAAACTATACATCAATACTTTATTGGGATGAATAGAGGACTTAAGAATGAGAGGTTGAGATTTAAGAACAATTCTACCAGGTAAAAAAAAAGAGCAAGGTGAACACCAGAGATGTACCTTCTTGGAATTGCTCTTGTTGCGCGGGTGGCTGTGCTTCCGTTGCCACGGCAACCACAATTGGTTTCAATTCCTGAGTCTGTGCATTTACACTTATTTCTGTTCCCAGTTGGTGACCTCAAATTTTTAAAATTACAGTTTAACCATTACACAAATATACAGTAAAAACTTCGATTTCTCGAAGTTTGAAAAATAATCTGCATTCCTAACCCGAATAAAAAAACGTCAGTCAATATAAAATAATTCTTCATGCTTAGTTAAGATTATTTTGCTTCAACTTCGAGAAAACGAATTTTAACTGAGTGCAATATGGTTCCTAGCTTTTATTGATTCTAATATATCGAGGCTATCGTTCCAAAATAGCGTGCAAATATACATGAAAAAAAAAGAAACAAATAACCGTGCTCAATATACATAATTTTTCACATAGATCGCTATATATGTAATATATGCACAAGATTCCACAGATGTTACAATATAAATCTTTAAAAAAACATATCATTCAGTTAGTTATATTTCATCTACGTTATTAGTTAGTTTTATAAACTACTAAACATCTAGACCATTTTACAAAAATACATATTAACCATAACACATGTAGGCATGACACTGTTAAACAGATAAAGAAATTAAAACATAGCCAAAAAAATTTAAATGCACAGACGACATTTATAAATAAATGACTTACCTAATGTCGTGGCGAAGTTGGTTGTTGTGCTTTGAGATTCGGAATTGGCCACCGTGCCTATTGCCGGAGATGCAATAGTGTACTCGACTCCGACTTGGGGTTTTAAAACATCCGCAGAAATGGTTGTCGTTGTGTTAACAAAATGAGCATTATAATTAGGAGGAAGATTTGTGGGTACTCCAGTGGGGTACATTTGTGCATTGTTTATAATCAGAGTGTGAGGCATGCCTTGAGCTTCATTGGTGCCATTTTCGGCTCGGGCTTGTTTCGTTGGTCTAGGTTGGGTTTGGTACCATATCTGCTACAAAACACAATGTATGTTGCCATTATTGCAATGAATTCTAAATATTTAAAGGATGATGCCCACAAAATCTTTCAGAACTCTCTTATTAAAAAAAAAGTCTCAGTTTGTTCTTGACGAAGAAACAGAGAAAGGAGTGAGACAACTGTAAAATTACTGTAAACTTATTATTTTTAGCGTGGACGATATTTGGCGGAAACTGATTTTACGACAAGATTTCTGAACTTGTCAGATATAAATATTGTCGTTTATTAATTTTCAATCTGAAGTTAAAAATTATTACATGACAAACTATATTTTGTCATGTAACCATTTTCAACTTCAGATTGAAAATTAATAAATGTATTCACAAGACATTAAAAATGTACTTGATAGCGGAAACTGATTTCCGTCAAAACTGAATACACAGCCAAATGTATTAACGTTTTCTAGTATTTTTTGTATTTTCTGATGTTGACACTTACATTGATATCGGCTGTATTTGGTTCTATTTTTACTTCAGCTTCATGACCATTTGGGACTACAAAGAAAATAAAAGAAGCATAAGAATTTTTACCTTTCTCATAAAAGCCAAAAGCAAATAAATATGTCTTCATGTAATAGTATGGGACATAAAAAGGATGAGTTATTCACAATAAAAATTAACACTTAATTTGAATTGACAGTTTCTTCGATTAGGCAGCAGCAATACATGATTTTCACCCTACTTTTAACCATTTCTTATTAATTTCCTTTCTTGGTCGTGTTTTCGTGTACTTAACGATATGGCAATTCGTTGAATTATAATAGAAAACAGGCCCTAGCATCCTGAGTTTTCTCAGCCCCGTAATGCACACCACTTTACCGGAAGAAATCTCGATAGCGGCAGCATTAACGCGGTGACAAGTTTGAGAAGGATTGTCAAGAAGTGGTCTGTTCTTACGATCAAGGAAGAAAAAGACCGAGTTACAAATCTGATTAAGCAGACGAGAGGGTGGTGAATGGACACTAATAAAGTTTACAACAGCAGACGAGATACAAGGGGAATCTTTTTTGGCGAGATTGTTATTTCAACATGCAATTTATTTGTTATTCTTATTAGGTCTGATCTTGTTATCTGTAATTAGATCGACTAATGACTTATATCGACTAGTGATTTAGATCGACTAATGACTGGACTGGGCATTAACAAGACGGACCCGGACTTCGGCTTTGTTATTTGTTAAGGGCGATCACGAAGAAAACATATTATAACTGACAATAATGCCTAATTTCCAGCGGATTGTGTTGTCCCACTACAGAACAATTAACATATCATATTATATTGATATTCGAGTTAAAAAACAGGAATTTTCTGAATTGCCTTCTAGCGTTTGGACCCCAGAAATACATCTCTAGATTGCATGTTGTAGATCTGCAAGTTTTAGTTTGAACATATCAAAATTTTGAATTACCTGAAGAAAAAAAATAAAAAAGTATCATTTCATTTATTTTATTGCAGGTTAATAAAATATTCCGTATAATATACTTTTTATTTGGAATGAGGAGCAATTCTCTCTCTCGCCCCGATGAAGCCAAAAATCTTCCCAATTTGTTTGCTATAATGCAGTTTTTGAGTAATGGTAAATACAAGTGCCTCATCTATATATTTGTTATATAACATCAGTAGTTGTGATGAAGATACAAATCAAGTAGATTTATTATTTTATTTCCGCACCTCATATTTGATTTGCGTCTATATGTCAACAAACCACACGTGTTTTGATGTTCAGCGATTCTCAGACATTCCCAATATGTTTTGTGAGATGAGATAGACCAGAGATTGATCACGTATAATATTCCAAACATTTTTATTCTGTTACTATTGATCGCTTGGTTTGCAGATATTGTACATCTTCAGAAGGTTAGTGTGTGATAATGGGCAAGAATTTAAATGTCAACATTAAACTTGACAAAATCAGGCAGCTTCTGTTTGGAATCAATAGAGGAATACTTGAAAAACTCCGACTCTTGGTCAAAAGTCAACTGTTAAACTCTGCTCAAGTCTACAAATCGCATCGGTAAACATGCATGAAACAATTTACTTTTAAAAATTATTCTGTCAGAAAATGTTTCAAAAGATAATATCTTGTAGAAGTGTTGAAAAATATGAACACCCTCCTCTGTGTAATTATACTATTTTTCTTGATTAACAATGTACTTAATTACTTTTCGTAATAGGCAGAAAATGTTAAAGAAAGTAGGAAGAAAATGAAATGAATACTCAATTTCCTTAAACAATTCTAACAAAAATGAAACAACGGTAGAAACAGGGTCTGTCACCAACGGTCAATCAAATCTCCGGACTTTACCCATTAAATGATATTGATAAATTAATGGCAAACTGGTGTTATTCATTAATTATGAAGACCTTTGCATTTGCAATTAACGCGAAACCATAGACAAAATTGTGATACTATAGACCCGAGAAAGGAGAAAGAGTCGTTCTATCCCCAACACTGCCGAGTTTGAGCTCTGTGGTAATGGTCTTTGATGATTAATTAATATCCAACTCGGTCTACACCTGAGAGAGAGAGAGAGAGAGGGAGAAAAACGTAATCATGGGACAATATGGATTTTCAGCCAACGTCTAGGGTTTATCTTGCCCGAGTCTGATAGAAAGATATCAGAAATTGTTTCCGCATTGACAAATTGGGAGATTTTTTTGAATGACGTGTCTTTGGAAAGGCCATTTAGATAAAACCTGGGTATCTGTATGCAAGGCGTTTCTTGTTTCACAAAGCAATCTCATGCACCCATCTCTCATCCTTTTTCTGCTTCAAATGAAGTAAACTAATGTGAACCACGCTTGTGCAAGAACTCTAAGAATTCCTTAGTCTGATATGCGAGATTGTTTTTTGGGGATTGATTGGGATTTTTTTGGTTACAAATCTTTATTAGCTAATGATCAAACTTTGATATTCTTTTTTATACCTACAGGGAAGAAAATATTTAACGGATTAAAACAAAAGGGTCTCGACATGCACATGCAATTGCATGTCACAAATGTAACGAATATGCAGTCTTTGAGAAAAAAGAACAATGAATAATTTTTTACTATCAGTCTTCCAAATTCTGTCTGATAATGCAAACTGTTATAAAGTAGGTTTGTCATATTGTGGGAAAAACACTACAAGATGATATCAGATCTTTATGTCTCAGGAATGATTAGAGCAAAAAATTCGAAATTTGTTGTCCTTTTTCCATTTAAGTAAATGAAGAGGTCTCATAAAAAAAAAAAAAAAAAAAAAAAAAAAAAAAAAAAAAAAAAACAGGAATATAGATTTTGTCACATGCAGGCCAATGAAACAATACATATTGTAAGCAGAGCAAAACACAAACCTCTGAAAGATCAGAGGTGGGATGAGATGCCATGGAGGAATAACTTATGTTACCATGTTCATGTTATGTACCTTGATCATCCCTCTTCCTTTTGTTGCCGTTGGGATCCACCATGGTTTGAGCGGTCTGACTTTGAGGAATTCCCAGAATCCCTGTGATTGTATAAGGGGCTCTCTGTATTTCACTATTTGGAGATGGTTGATGGGACAGTGGCGGACTTCCGGTGTCCATAGACGGACTGCTGTGCCCGGGGGAGTGTTTTGCATTCTCTGCTGCTTTATTCCTTACGATCCTGAAATTCAAATTCAAATATTTAATGGAAATGGTTGAAACATTTCCCTTAATCCTTTAATTAAATTCTGCAAGCAATCTTGATTGTAAAATTTATTCAATTGTTTGTATAAGCCCGGATAATACAAGAGTTGATTGAAAGTGTAAATTCTTCACAAATCATTAGAATATGTCTCATTTGCTTAAATATAGAATTAGTTTAAAATTTTTATAAAGTTTATTATATTGTATGTTGTATATATTTATTACTTTTTTGCCCTTCAACTAGTTTCTTGGGTCATTAGCACCTAAGTGTTCATTTAATTTTGACTTTCGCAAATTCATATTCTTTTGGTTTTTGTTTTATCGAAATAAAAGATGAATGATTATTTCTGAGATAAAGACATTCCTAACTTATAGACAATAGAAACACACGTGTATAAGGTTCCCCATTTACTTTTCTTTTATTTCATTGTAAATGCAAAATCTTTTGAAAAGCTTTTAAACGTTTAGAAAAGTGAACAAGATAAAATTGAAAGGAAAAGATTTAACCTTTAATTATATAACGAGGAACAGTTCAATAGATACATCACACGCTTGTCAATTCCCACCAATCTACGAAACCCGAGTGGGTCATGGAACGAATGCGCATTTCTTTAGAATCAAATTTTGATTGAGAGTCATTGTTTCGAGAATACGACTAAATAGATAAGACAGTATCTTGTGTCCAAGGACTCCACTTTTTGAAGATAGGCAATACCACTGAATTATTCTTTAAACGTTGTCATATCTAACTGAAAGCCAAAAATTTCCCGTTTCTTTCTTTGAAGGAATGTCCAGAGTTCTCAAATTTTCAATTGCTCAATTCTCTAATGAAAAGTTTTCATTGTTTTTTTTTCTTTCAATTTTTTTACCGCAATAGGCACCATGTCTTTGTTAAAAAAAAAAGTGAAAATAATTTCTTTGTTTCAACAACCTGCTAAAAATGTTAAATCAAATAGCAAAATATTTACAAAGCTAGCTATATGCTTAGCGTGTTCCTATCTTTTACAATAACGAATTGGGAGGCAAGCTAAGATCAAGACCAAATAATCCGACTGTGAAATTTTGTGACATTTGATACCGCTCAATATGGATGACAAAAAAGAAACTACCGTGTGCACTGAGTGTCCTTTTGGTGGAATCATAAACACACCCGGACCAGCAATAGCGACATGTACCCAGTGATTCCTCATAAAAACCCAATACTAAACATAACCTCCGATTGTTCACAACTTCAGTATCTTTATTGTGATTAAACACGCAAATACCCATCGAAACAGTTTCAAATTTTCCAGCAATTATGTCATTATCTTTTTGCAGATTTAGTTTGAACACGGCAACCTTTGACGGTTTAAACAATGACATCTGCCTCCGAAATATCACTGCATACAATGCTAGATTAGTAGCAGACACTGATACCCCTAATCAAATTATTGGGGGTCTTTTCTGGAATCATTTTGGGGGGGGGGAAGTTTGACATTTGTATGTGCTTTTGCCTTTAAATTGCATTACAACAGTAACGGCAATTAGCCCCAGAAGGCTTTATAGAACCGAACAATTTTTCCTCCAAGATTTTCTTTTTTTCTTTCCATTTTTAAGGGGGTGTCATTGTTACATATTGAAAATAAACTGACTCATAATATATCATATCAGATTGTGGACAGAGTAATTATCACAAGATATTTGGTATTTGACAATAAAGATATTTTATTTGGAATATAAAATTTCTAATGGATCAGAAATGTTCGCTGGATAATCTTTGAAGAAGCGATAAGTTAATCCTAAAATGTTCAAAAAGTATCATTCCTAAGGAGACCATTTTAGTGTGTAAATCCTCTAAAATTTCTCCCACCTGCTATAAATGGATTGTAAAATGAATTATTTGTTAATTGAGAAATATTCAGTTGATGATTTGAATCACATTTGTAGTTTATAATTCCATTATCAAGCGAAAGGTTTTAATAGAGTTCAAATGCGCGTGGTAAAATATCAAAACAGCTGTGAGGGCAAGCATTTCTAACGGCCCTTCTGTAAATTTTGGAGCAAAATTTATAAAATAACTGTACGCATGAGTGGAAAATAATGCACAAACTGAGCTGAAGCATTTGCCATTTGGAAGCTTTTTGATATAAATGTGATGAAGCGAACAAATTGACAAATTTCTCTTAGAACGCCCAAACAAGTAGCTGTTCAATTCAGAAGGAAGCTTTCGTCTCCCTTTTATTATGATGGCGAGAATAATAACCCTTCAATTCACCCGCACATAAAATGCCGGTTTGACTAACAGAACATTAATGGCAGCGCACAAGTTAATGCTGTATTATCGAAGTTTAATAAACAGTTTTATTTTTGGGCAGAAATATTTCCGATCTTCTAGTTGACATGATGATTTTCTCCGTACAAGACTTTCTAACGCATTATGGTTCTCTTTGTTTTTTCGAAATTACTTCTATAAATCTCCTCTTCAGACACAATTAAAGATGGTCTCCAGGAAAATGCATAATAAATTTGATTATTTCATGTTCTAGCAATCATTATAGCTGTCCATCTGATTTCTTTGGGATCTGTGTACAGAGAATCTCTAATTTATAACGAGGCTGTTGAGTGGTCCACGGAAGGAAAGGGAAAAGACTGTAATTACTTTGTAATAAAAGTTCCCTGATTTACTAGGTAACATTTTAATCATATAGGTATTTGCGTGCGAATGAATTTCATAGATAAATGAAAATTGCTGGAATTCATCAGAGGGTGAAACCTGTTTTTTTTTTTTTTTTTGACAAAGATTTTAAGACCAATAACTTGTAACATCTTAAAAATTTCAACAATCAAGTTTCTCACACTAACAGTTAACATATCAACTTACCAAAAAATAAAATGTTTGTCTAAAATAACATTTATCGAAAAATAAAAAAGTCTTGTTTCTCTCAGATTTACATTTTTACAGTTGTAAATTCAAATTAAAATTTTAAGTATGTATGGTATGTACCTGTTGATTGAACTGACACTTGGTACATTTTCGGACGAGCAGACACCTTCAGCTAGAAGTCTGTCACGGATTTCCCAGGCAAACATCGTAGGATTTTCGTGTTTGTAGCGGGTAATAGCGTCCACCACTTTGGGGGTCGCCACTTTAGGCTTGGATCCGCCAATAACACCCGGCTTGATTGAGCCCGTCTCATAATACCTAAGGAAAAAGAACGATTTTTTAAAAACAGTGAATTACATCTAATATAAGATTTTTTTTAAAACTTAAATTACACCATATAAATTTTAATTTGTATGCAGAATTCGTTCCTCCCTGAGGGTAAAATTTTAAGCACTCTTATCTGAGTAAGGGTTTTCTTTTTCCTTTAAGAGGATGAATTATGAAAATAAATATCCATATATTTTTCTCTATCAAGTCTAATCTAAACATTACTTCCAACTTTATCAACATGACAAGAAATTTGCATTTCTTAAAAGTTTAAAGAAATCACAAAATATACTTTTGAAATTTTAAACGAAATTGAAAAATGTATATTTAATGGCCATGTTCAGGAAATGTTTTAGAAGTCTGTTTTTTAATTTGTTTTAGTTACGTGTAGTAAAAGCATTTCACGTCACAGAATAAAACCAAGATTAAAGAAAAGATGGAATTTTAAAAAAGGTTAATGTTAAAAATAAGATTATTAAAAGAACATATAATTTCAGATTTTAGAAAGAAAATTTGCATTAAAATTTTTCTTGAAAATTTGTACCTTGTGTTTGACTTTAGACGTTTAAAAGTGAACAATCAACTACAAATCAGGTCTTTCAAGTAGATGTGGAGTAGAGAATTTGTTGTTTTTAATACACCCTATTTCACTATCTCTCTGACAAGAAGATGAATACTTTATTTATGTTGCCCTCTATTGATTTTGGGTGCTTAGAACTTCATTTTTCAAAACACATTTTCCCATTTTGTCGTCTAGATGAAAGCATAGATAACGCTACAGAAATGAAAATGAGAATTCTCTTTATTGAAATTCAGATATCCGATTTCAAAAGTTCCCACCATCTGAAATCCGATGAATCATTAGAATGCCATTTAGCAAGAAATTTCTTAATTTGTAGTACATTAAACAGAAAATACTGCCTCGTCATAAAGATTTTTTTTTTTAAAAAGTGTCATAAATTTTTAGTGTTCAATTAATGCTTTATATTTAACAATGCAAATAAAAAAATATGAAAATATATTTTAAAAAAAAAATTATATAAAAATGGCTTTCTTTGTATAGATAATCCATGGAATGGTTAAAACAACATTAATTTGTTTTAGAAATATTTTTAAAAACAGGTCTGAGATGCAATAGTTTGTCACTTTGCGTGTTGTTATAAATTTGCATAACTCTTATTGATCAGCAAAATTTGAAACACTTCTTTACTCAGCAAACGTTATAAAGAATGCTTCATTGTTAAATTCGCAATATTACCCAACAAGAAAAATAGTTTAATTGACGAATTATTATTTTTACATTGGGTGAGAGAAATATGAACCACTTATTAACTGATATTGTCAAAATTTATAAACTAAACGTTAATTGATAATTAATATATGACGGAATTCACTGTCAATTTCAGCAGCTAGTATTTGTTTTCTTGTAAAATAATATCTAAGAGAAATTAGGAGGAAAATATAACGCGTATTGGTGGGGGAAAACTATTTAAGCCGTTCTTATTCATTATCAAACACATTTTAAAATATAATTAATCAATGATGAAATTAAAAGAAATATTACGTTACATTAATTCTGAGACCACACATAGGATTAATAAAAAATTTACCTGCACGAGTTATACATTATATCTAGTCGATTAATTTCAGCTAGGCAGTCATTCCCCAAACAAGCCGATACCAAATTGAAAATAAACTGCTGCTTTAGGATACTCGAGTTCAATTTAAAAATGAGATGATTTTTTTCCTACATCGGCATGAAATGAATATAAGGCTTATGTTGGGTGATCCGTTGCTTAATTAAGCAAGAATAATCACCCGAGACTTAGGTTCGCCTCCCCTCGCCGCGCACGAAAGCAAATCCCCCATCAAGACCTTAAACGAACTCCTAAGGAAGCTAAGTCACCCTCCCGAAAGTTAACCCTCCGCCAGGGGACAAGGTTTATTGATTAAGGAACAAGAATATTTTGAGGTATCCCCAAGAAGTGCCATCCCTCTAAATACACCCGGGGTAATTTGATCCCATGTACCCCGGAACATCAATGACATTGTAAAACGAACATAATGGACAAGACACTTTACGGATGGTTTTCATCTTTGTACCCGTTGCAGGAAAAAGCAACACAATGGCTCGTTTTTATTTTGGGGGTCACCGGTGATCTTAAGTGACCCCTTGCCAGATTAACTTTGACATGGCGTTCGGGTACACATGGTCATAAAGATGTCTATTTCTGAATGGCGTTCAAGTTCGATGTCACACAAGATTGTTATGTGTTCATACGCCCAATTAGTTGCTTTTGCTCGTAACTAACTGGCTAAAAATATACATCTCTTTTATTTTCCTCCTTCCTAACTCAAGACCTATTTTGTAGGGGTCCTTAATTTATTAGTTAAACCTTATCTTCCGATTATCAGTGAACACCACTATCTTTTCTCTGAATCGCTAAGTTCCACGACAGAAAAGTAACAAATATTTGGGTACGTAGTTTATGATCAAGTGACCCAATAAATTCGGTGCTTTTGGAAGGAACACCCACTTAACTTGAAACTTGGATACTCTATTACAATCATCTTTTGTTCAATTTTGACAATAACATGTTTATATCAAAACGTCGAATTAAATCTTTTTGTATAAACCCTATAGAAGTTGTCACAAACTGATCAAATTGTTTTGAAAAAATAATCCTTACAACAATTCAACTTCCGATTTATTCAAAATTATTTTAAAGCATTTTTTTTTTTAAAATGTGACTATCAAATAAAAAAAAATGTATGAAGATAAATTATGTTTTGGTAAAATTCTAAATATTAAAATAGTTAATTACTTACCTGCCCAGTATTTTACTGACACATCCATGAGAGACTCGGAGTTGGCGGGAAATATCACATGGCCTGACTCCCTGGTGGGCGAGTTCCACAATCCTTTGTCGGACCACGTCGGGCAGGGGACGTCCATTGACAAATACCCCTCCTAACTGATTTACCCCACCATGACCTATTCAATGAAATATATATTTATGAATTAATTTAATAAAGAAAATGAAATACTTTACCAAATATCGGTAACATGTTGCATAATATGAACCTTGAAATCCACATCCCATATCCATATTCCCAAACATATTATATTTATGGTGGGGAAAAAAAGAATGTTCCATATGTGGCATATAGTACATGGACATTTTGTGAATAATTTTGTTAATGTCCAATTTTTCTGTTGAAAATTAACCAGTCCTCAGCAAGAAAAGCGTATCATCTAGTTGGAAAACGAAAAACTAAGCATCACTTTTATCAAACATTAATCCTTCAATATTGTCAACTTTTTTTTATAACGGCACCTATTACTCTAATGAATTCGTGATAAAAGAACCAATGAAAATATTCCGTTTATGAAATGCACGTCTGCAAAATCAATGGGATTATAATAGAAAATCGCAACATTGTTCAATATCTTGCAGATCAGAAGCAACAGTTTAGGGCAGGCATCCCGAACCCGATGCAGTGCGCCGCTGATTGCCCCCAACAATTTTATTTTCGATTGTCGTGCTTTGTCGTCAGTGAGGCTTGAAAGCGCCCATCTTTCAGTGACTAATGAACTTTTAAACAGTTATAATTACTCCATCACCTCCAATTGATGTGTTTTAAAACCAAGATTTGACACAGTTTGACACCTTTGAAAGGAACGCCGTCTTTTTTTTTTTCTAAAAAATAACAACTTCATATATATATATATATATACAAATCAAAATCTCTGCACTTCTCTGCGTGTTTTATATACTGTAAAGTGACAAAAAGATAAATTTCAGATAATGACAGAAGTCGATTAGAAGGCGTGGAACCCAATATAAAGCAAACAATAAACATGGAAAAATCAAGGACTAGCATGATTAACCATATAGAAAGTGAGTCTAAAATCATCACATATCTACCTACATACATCCCATACTATCTAGAGCATAGCTGCTCACTGAACACCGTCACTGATTTCTTTCTCTCAAAGTTAGTCACACCATCGCAGATTCATTAGGCAAGAAAATTAAATTGAACAACAAATTACCCGTCACACGACACACAACACTGAAATAAAGAACCCCAAGAAAAATCAAACGCCCAATAATTACGATAAAAACAAAGGCAGATATTTTTTTTTACCTGCAAAGACATCATAAGCTCGCGGTTGGAGTTGATACGGGAAAGTCGGGGGACCATAAGGCCCAGCCCAAGTGTTCTGCATGGTTCGAGTCCGAAACCCCAAAAGAAGAATTGAATGCTACCCCTCACAGTTTCGACCACTTATAGCGTGATTTAAAAGCCCAGGGGTGTCTGTAATTCACCTAAGCCAAATTGGTTATTGCTACCCTTCTCTTGCAACTTAACTTTGGTTATGCTTATAAGGTTCAATGCGCAATCTTACAGTCTATATCTTCGACCCATTCAGACACCAAACGCGCGAGCAAGCCAATCGCTTGACACCAGTCCTGTTGTATACCTAAGTAGTTAGGGGTACCCCTACAATGTCTATAATATCGTGTTTCTTCACTTTGTTTTATGCAATTCGAGCATTATTAGTGTACTAAATCTTTTGTCTAGCTCCACAATAATATCTCTTTATTTCTTAACCACTGCTGGCGTCACTGAGCAAGACCAAAAAAATATATTCTTCCACTGATTAAAAAAGAATTAATCCACAAAATTGTAGACATTTTCATCGGTTTTAAAACTTCAGAAAGATGCAGACCAATGAAATTTTTCATTCGTTGTTAATTTTTTGGCAGCTTTTCTTATCCCCTGACACCTGCTACTACATGTGTGAATACAAAAATCAGTGATTTGGGGGACTTGTTGAACAAAGATAATTCTAAATGACTTTCTGCTTCAAATGTCAAAGTTATCGAAAGTTGGAGTTTGAAGACAGATAAACATTTAATATAGCATTTGACTCATACTACCATCAATTTTCCCCGATTTTGCATCAAAGACACGACTTAGCATAAATTGATGTAATTGTGCCATATTACACTTGATTTGAAATTGTAATTATTACCCCATTCTTTATTCCCCGTATTGGGACAGGACAATTCAAAGTTAATGTCCTCAACTAAAACACATTGCTGTAAACCGAATAAAAAAATCTTTGCTCCAATTCAAAACGACAAGATATCCTTTCACACCTTGTCCTTTTTGTTTTCATCTGATTCATGGTGGAAAAATACATAGCAAGTTTACAGTTTACTTTAGCACGAAGTCATTTTGATAAATTAAGTTCCATCTATTTCGGCCATCGAAAGAACATACATGTACCATGCGTTTGAAATAACTGGATGATTTTATAGCATTTGTACCACGGTGACTATTAGGGTCAGTCCCTTTTGAAACCGGACACGACAAGGGATATACATAGAGAATTTAAGCCAATATTTGCCATTTTGTGGACCTTAGACTTAATGCAGTACACGTCGGAAAGGACGCTGATTGATAGCGAGCGCTTTGGGCCAAATATCCATCATGGAGACACAAAAGAAAGGGGACTTGATCTATCTGATAGCCACGATGGGGCATCCTTTTAATCACTTAAGGTGTGAAAGAATTCTTCATCACAACGTTGCACGACCTAAAATATGTATATCAATTCCTTCTCCTTTCCGTAGATGATTTTTTTTTTACATACCTTATTTTTTTTTTTTGGAAGAAAGTTTTGATAGTTAAAGATAAAATCATGAGACACAACTTTCCTCCGGTAAATCCAGTAACGAAAAATTAGGATAAAATTAATAATTTCCTTCTTTTTAAATAATAATAGTATATTGCTTCCCTATGCTCCCACTTAAAAAAAATATTTCTAAACTCTACAGTGGCTTAGTTTTGTGTATTAGGGACAAAGGACAGAATTGAGTTGCGTTACATTGCTTAGTTGTGGAATCTTAGGTTTGGAAGATGGAACACATTCATTTCGTTGAAGCGTGCGCGGTTCAATTTTGATAATACATTTAGATTTTTCATGAATTGTCAAAAGGCCTTAAGTCTGCCGTCTGCGTGTTTGTATACATGTTCCATGATCCGCTCAGCGAGTCTCCGACAATGTCATGATGTAAGGGAAGATGCCCTGCGTTTAGTGCTCTGTTCCGCGTCGCTACAGTACCGTGGACAACCATTCTAGCGGTTTTTGTGTTTATCAAAAAGGCATTAGTCCGTATTGCTGCATTTCAATACACAAAATTACTATGTGTGACCACTACACTCAGCGATTGAATTGGAATCGAGAAATTCATGAAAAACGATACCTTAAACTAAGACTGCATCCAAAGTAATGTTATTTAACACCATGTAGAAAACAAGGAAATTTAATGAAATAAATAAAATATAGGGGAAAACCGAACAAGAAAAAAATTTATACGGGAGACACAACCCTATTGGATGTTTGCGATTTCCATAACTTACTTTTGCACGAATGATAATAGTCCAATTGCATAGGATTATGAAATCTATAGGCAGTTGCCAGATCCATGATAATCAAGGGGGCACTAAGGTTCGTCTGCTGTGATTCGGATGGTCAAATGATAATCACAAATGTAGTCCGGAAAAAATAAAGTCAAATCGGATTTAATCCAAGTTTATCCGAAATGTCGCTAGTTGAACTTTGTGATCCGTATCATTGAACCGACGGAAGAGGTATGGAGTTTTGAATAAATAAAATACAGTCAAAGTCATTATCTGTATAAGCTCTTATTCAAAATTTATAACAAAAATTGCAAGAATCATGAAACGGGAGCGACAATTCGTGTCATATTTCTCTTCATGCGTGATTGATCATGGAAGGACCTGCCTCTCTAGAAATTGAACCGCCCTCACCTGAGTAAAATTACCTGCCCATTTGAGGGGAAAACATGGAAAATGCAAAGATGGCTAATCTAAATACCGGTATTGGCAATTGTCGGATATGCTTGGGCGACAGCAGAAAGTTCAAGATGCGAAGTAGCATGTTTTTCCTTTTTCCAACCATTTATTTGTTTGTTTTCCTTTTGCAGTGTTAAGTTGGTGTTCAGCGAAGAAGCTAATCATTTTAACGAGTGCTTAAAGATTTATAAACAATATTAATTCTCTTTCTCATTTTTTCTCTTGTATCTCTTCTCTTTTTTTATAATAGGGATGAAGAAAAATCATTAATATTAACGCTTGCCATGTCATTACGACACATAAAAATAATGGTGTTTGATTGTTTTAATTATCTTCAAACAAGTCATGAGGCTATAAAACAAAGGGGTAAAAACAATCCAGGATTATCCCTAGTGATAACAAATCGACAACGGTATATGTTGTCTCGTTCAAGGGGTATTTAATATTTCATCGCATTCTTATCACTGAAACAAACCATAATAATTTACTTCTAGAACTGTGTCTTGTAGAAAATTAATATTTCATTTCTCGATTTCGAATTTCTTTAAGATCTTCAATTTCAATGACGTTCGTGGAATTAGGGAAAGGGTCATAAATACCAATTTGAAGACTTTGAAGCCCCCAAAGGTAAACTCTATATTTCTTCATCAACAAAGGTTAAAATGATAGATATAAAAAAAAAAAGTTAATCTTTCGAGAGCACCTGCCTATCCCTACATTGTCATATGCACCGAGAAATCCTGGGGTCGTAAAAATGGACCCATCGCTTACGCCGCAAAATGTCTCTTGGGACTTCTTCGTGAACTTTTGTAGCTTTAGATAAAGTCTTTGAAGTACATGACATGTTCAGAGTTTAATTATAATTTAAATTGCTAATTTAGCCCCGCTGCTCAGGGTCACACCGTCAGGTCTCGAAGTACATACGTAATTCTATTTTGGCCTTTTGTTTTACTCGTAGGCTTGACCCCCTTATCTGGAAAATCGGAAGTAATTCTGACGCAGGGACAGATTTTGACAAAAGATGGGGATATATATTGTTTGATTTAATTAATACATATTGAAGTAAATAAACTCGATTACATCAAAAAACATGATACCGTAATAGAAAAATCATGCTAAATCATGTCTTGAAGCTTTTGAACCAATAGTTCATATTTTTCAATTGATCTTGGACAACTTAGTAATATCCGAGTTGCTTATAATTTTACAATTATCAAATTTAAAGTTAATTATTATCATATAGCATTGCATTATATTAGAGATCATTAATGCATAAGACGATCTGGCAAGAATTCTCTAAAGACAGTGCACATTTTTTTTTTGTTTCGAAGAGAATTTAGCAACAGATATATCTTTCCTTTTAATCTGTAAAAAAGTAAATTCCAACTTATAATAGTTCGGTTGAGCTCAACATTTTTGTTTGTATGATAAATTCTACAGAAGAATTTTTAATGATCAATTTATACTTAATGTCATAATTTTCTTTGTAAAGAGATCAAAATATTAAAAATAAATCACGGTGCATCTTTAATTAACAATTTAGTTGACTTAATTCCGAGACACGCTCGTGTTATCAGCTATTTTTTCGCCTCACTGCAAGGACAATCCATCGGCATGCAACTGCATGATTTTAACCAAATTATTAATTAAAATGTTAGAATCTAATTCTACCTCTTTTCTTCCCACTAGAGATTGAATTAGCTCCAATAATTATTGACAGGTGATTTGTTTAATTT